AAAAAAAAAAAAAAAAAAAAAGCACACATTCCTATCTAGGGGAGACATTGGTTTATTTATCTTGATTTCTTGTGATGTCCTTGTTAAGTTCTGGTCTTAGCTGATTTTGTAAATAAGCTGGAAAAAGGTTCCTTGCTTTTCCGGTTTCTTCTTTTCTAGTCTCTGGATGAGTTTGCACAAGGAAACTGTTAATAATTTCTTACATTTTTATAAGATTTCATCGCTGAAGTCATTTAGGACCAGTGGTTTCAGGGAAAGTTTCAAGAACAGATTCAATTTCTTTTTTCTTTTTTTTTCTATTTTATTTATTTTATTTTATTTTTTGAGTCAGAGTCTCACTCTGTTGCCCAGGCTGGAGTGCAGGGGCATGCTCATGGCCACTGCAGCCTCGACCTGCTGGGCTCATGTGATTCTTCGGCCTCAGCCTCCTAAGTAGCCACAGGCACAAGTCACCAGACCCAGCTAATTTTTTGATTTGTTGTAGAGATGAGGTTTTGCCAAGTTGCCCAGACTGGTCTCGGACCTGCGGGCTCAGGCAATCTTCTCACTTCTGCCTCCCAAAGTTCTGGGGATACAGGTGTGGGCTACTGTGCACAGTGTCGTTTAACCATCACCCCTGTCTAGCCTAAGATTTTTTTCATCACCCCCAACATAAACTCTGTCTCTGTCAAACAACTTCCCATCCGTCTCCCCAGTCAGGCAACCACCATTTACTTTATAAATTTGACTCTTCTACATGCCTTGTATTAGTAGAATCATACAACATTTGTCTTCCTGGGTCTGGAACGCTCCCTCCCTTCCTTCCTTCCTCTCTTGGAGTGGGGAGTGGGGGGGTGGCGTCGTCTCACCTGTCGCCCAGACTGGAGTGCATCCTTTCCACCTCCTCAGCCTCTCAAGTAGCTGGGACTACAGGTGTGTGCCACCACGCCCGGCTGATTTTTTTATTTATTGTAGAGACGAGGTCTCACCATGTTGCCCAGGCTGGTCTCAAACCTGCGGGCTCAGGCAATCCTCTAGCCTCGGCCTCTCAAAGTGCTGGGATTATAGGCTTGAACTGCCCCGCCTGGCCTATTATTTTTTGAAGGTCGATTGATATCCCATTATGTGAATACACCACATTTTGCTTCTCCATTTTTCTGTCGATGGACATTTGAAATGTTTTCACCTTTTGGCTCTTGTGAATAATGCTGCTGTGAATGTGGGTGTATACATATATATATTTTTAAGTTGGAGTCTCACTCCGTCACCCAGGCTGGAGTGCAGCGGCACACTCACAGCCACTGCAGCCTTGACCAGCTGGGTTCCGGCAATCCTTCCACCTCAGCCTTCCAAGTCGCCAGGACTATACAGGTCTGTGCTACTGCGCCTGGCTGAGTTTTGATTTATTATAGAGACGAGGTCTCACCAAGTTGCCCAGGGTGGTCTCGAACCCATGGGCTCAGGCAGCCCTCTTGCCTCGGCCTCCCAAAGTGCTGGGATTACAGACTGAGCCACTGAGCCTAGCCTGACTTTTGACTTATTGTAGAGAAGAGGTCTTTTTTTTTTTTGAGTTGGAGTCTCACTCTGTCACCCAGGCTGGAGTGCAGTGGCCGCTCCCGGCCACCGCAACCTCGACCTGCTGGGCTCCCGTGATCCTTCCACCTCAGCCTTC